AGTTACTTGCGTGTAATCTATTTCCACCGATATTTTATCAACGAATGATTGTAATTTTCATATTTATGACTCTTTTTTAATAGCAGAGTGTTTAAAATTCAATCCTACAAAATAATGAAAAAATTCAATATTATGATTGTTATTCAACTTGTAATATATTGCACTCGAATATGTTTGCATATTATTATGTTTCAGCAACATACAATTTATCATTGAAGAATGATTGTAATTTTCATATTTATGACTCTTTTATAATAGCAGAGTGTTTAAAATTCAATTCTACGAAATAATGAAGAAATTCAATATTATGATTGTTATTCAACTTGTAATATATTGCACTCGAATATGTTTACATATTATTATGTTTCAGCAACATACAATTTATCATGCTTCAAAACTCTGAGATAATATTTAACAGACTCATTGTTTTCGAAATTAATATTAGAGTTTTTTTTATTTAATTATTGTAATGGCATCTGATATGAGTCATATTGCCACCACTTAGTGTACAAAGAAATCTATATACAATAAACTTTGAATACTAATCTATATACAATAAACTTTGAATACTAATAATATATATACAATATAATGTCGAATTTATAAATTAAATTTCTAAACTATATTTTCAATAAGAAATTCGTTAATGATACTATATATGTTCTCCGAACTAATTATAAGTAAGTAAATGATGTATGCTAGTCGGGACCTCGATTTTCTCTTTTTGAAGCTTCTCGTAACATTTTTCTCTTGCAGACTGGTATTGAGGTCATTCAAAAAAGATGTGGTTAAGGGATTCTTCTTCATATCCACATGTGCATGTCAGGGAACTGATTACATTAATTTTGCTTAGATGTTTTTCAAACCTCCCGTGGCCTAGTCGGATCCAACATATATTTGTATTTTCTATTTTTTATTTTTATTTTCTGTTTTATTTTTTTAAGCCAAGGGTGCGTAAATACTTTAGGATTTATTGATCCATAATTGTGTCCTTTTTTTCTCTAGAGATTTTGTATAGTAGAGTTGCCATTGATGTAAGGCGATTTGTTTAAGTCTGTGTTTTAGGTCGGAAGTTGGAATTTTGTGTCTTTCCTCTCCGAATTTACAAGCTTGTTTTGCAAATTTGTCTACAGTTTCGTTGTGCTTAATACCTGCATGTGATTTCATCCACACAATGTTTATTTTATATTTTTTGCTTTCTAAGTTTTCTATAGCCTCGAGTATATCCAAAATAATAATATTCCAAAATATTATTTGTTTTGCTGTCTATTTTCCTTAGTGCTTCGATTGCACTCCGAGAACCAGTTAGAATGTTACAGTTTTTCATACGATTTTCTTCAATAATTTTGATTGCGCTTTTTATACATATGAGTTCAGCAGTGAAGACAAAAGTTAATTCTGGCAATTTAATGTATTTGACTATATTGTTTGTCGGTTCAAAAGCCGCACATCCTACTAAGTTCCCTTTTTTATTGCCTAGGTACTTAATCACGTTGTTTTCCGGAATTTCGTCACCGTCAAGCGTTACTCTTGGGCAGCTTTGTTTTCTGAGCGTGAATGTTATATGTTGTGATTTTGTTTGATTAATTTTTATTTTCCAGTTTTTGGACCAATCATTTATTTTATCAAGTTGATATTGCAGTTTTGCTGTCTATTTTCCTTAGTGCCTCGATTGCACTCCGAGAACCAGTTAGAATGGTACAGTTTTTCATATGATTTTCTTCAATAATTTTGATCGCGCTTTTTATACATATGAGTTCAGCAGTGAAGATAAAAGTTAATTCTGGCAATTTAATGTATTTGACTATATTGTTTGTCGGTTCAAAAGCCGCACATCCTACTAAGTTCCCTTTTTTGGATACGCACTAATTTTAATTAATATTTCACTTTGTTCACTTAAACTGCCACAATAAAAACGAAAAGAATTGCAAATATTTACGTCCGATCTACACGAGTTATATACAAGTTGTATACACTTCGACAGCTGAATGGATACTTAACTTGAACAATTGACAATATTTACCGGGAGGTCTTACCTGCTTGGTAGCTGACGAGCTAATGGACATACATTTATAATAATAATTCATTTTTGATTTTTTTGTTGTTGCCATAATGTTTTTTTTTCATTTGTAAATTTTTTTTTTTATTTATTTATAATTAGCAATCAGAATACTGATTCTATAAGCTAATATGTGATGTATACACAAAATAAAAATTAAATAAAGTAATTGAAATAAACAAATAATAAAGATACAAAAATAAAAATTATAAATAAATACAAAAATATGATTATAAGCAAATTAGGAAAAAATAAGTACGTTAGGATTGCCTCCATTGAGTTAATCCTAAGTGAAGAAAGTCAGGCAGAGATTACATGGTCAGATCGGCAGGCCATTTTCTTTTCAGTCTTCGGTTTGTATTTTCTTCCATAAGTGGTTTCAGTAATTTATTGCTATGTGTTGCGATTTTGTTAAGATGCGTGCAGACTTTATCCTTAGTGACGTCCTTAATATATGGTATTTTTAGGTCTTGATGAATAATATGATTACTTACAAACCATGGAGCGTCGACTAGAGTTCTGAGAATTTTATTTTGCATTCTCTGCATCTGTGCTCTATGTGATTTGCTAGCGCATCCCCACAGCTTTATGCCGTAGGTCCACACATGTTTCAGCACTGCCTTGTAGATTAAGACTTTATTATACAGTGAAAGTTTTGACTTTCTGCTTAAAAGCCAATTTAGCTGTTGCATTTTTTGTTTTAATTGCTGTATTTTATTGTTAATATGGAATCTCCAGGTGAGCTTGGAATCTAGGTGCAGGCCTAGGTACTTAATCAAGTTGTTTTCGGGAATTTCGTCACCGTCAAGCGTCACTCTTGGGCAGCTTTGTTTCCTGAGCGTGAATGTTATATGTTGTGATTTTGTTTGATTAATTTTTATTTTCCAGTTTTTGGACCAATCATTTATTTTATCAAGATGATATTGCAGTTTAAAAGATGCATCGGTTGGATCTTGTGCAACTGCCAAAACAGCAATATCGTCCGCAAACGTGCAGCAGGTGGTGTTTCTCAATGTGGGGAAGTCAATGGTATAAATAAGGTAAATGAATGGCCCCAAAACACTGCCCTGGGGGACTCCTGCTTTCATTACTTTCGGCTCAGTTAAAGTATCGCCAACCTTGACTTGAAATTTTCTCCGAGTAAGGTAATTTTCAAAGAAAATCTTGTATGCTGGCAATATATTTCCAATTTTGTATAGAAGGCCTTCATGCCAAACTTTATCAAATGCTTGGCTTACGTCTAAGAATGCCGCAGAACAGTATATGCTGCCTTCAAAAGCTTTATTAATGGTGTCCACTATTTGATGACACTGTTGCGTAGTTGTGTGTCCGCTGCGAAAGCCAAATTGGTGATCAGGAATTAGTTCAGTAGTCCTTGCCATGTTTGCTATCAGAAGTCTTTCGAATATTTTAGATTTTATTGGAAGCAGACTTATTGGTCTATATGAATTGACTTTGTTCGGATCTTTTCCTACCTTTGGGATCATTTTTACCGTAGAGGTTTTGAATAATATCGGCCAGTAATTGAGTCTAAGAATTGCGTTCAAGATGTAGGTAAGTAAAATAAATTCTACTCTGGGGAGTTCTTTAAGCATTATGCTTGAAATTGAATCTATACCCACAGCTTTTTTATTTTTAAGACGTTTAATTTCATTATAAACACTTTTCACGGTGAAGAATCTAGTTTTGTTATGGTCTGAGGTAGTGTTTTCAGAATTAGAAATATTGAAATTTGACTTGATATCATTAACCGAAAAGACAGATGATAGATAATTAGCAAACAGGTTTGCTTTTTCAGAGTCACTTCTTGCCCAAGAGTCGGAAGCATTTAATCTTATTGGCGGGTGTTTAGTTGCAGGTCTTCTTCTATTAGATAGTGGCTTCCATAAGCTGTTATCAAATCTATTCAATCTGGAAACATAGTTAGTAAAGTTACTATTGTTTATTTCACTAATTTTAGTTCTCAATAAGTTATTCATTCTATTTAGTAGAGTCTTATCCTGTGGCGAGTGAGTGGTTTGCCATCTTTTCCTAATCCTACGTTTCTCAGCTATTAGTTCCCTAATCTCTAGCGTTATGTAGGGTCCTTTATTGGTGACGAAATTTTGCGGAGTACAATCTTTGACTACATTCTGCAAAATTTGTTGAAAGTCTTTCAATGCGTCGTCTATATCACTTGAGCATTTTAGAGGCATTTTTAAGTATATTTGGTCCTTAATAATATTCTTGTATAACACCCAGTTCGTTTTATGGTTATGAAGTTTGCAACTTGTTTGTGTTTGTTTTAAATTTGAACTCCGATTCCGAACTCCGGTCCGAGCTTAGGTCGTAATTTGACTGAAGTTCGATGCATTTATTATCAATGCCGCCCGAAATGAAAAAATCGAGTAAGTCAGGTATTCTCGCCGGATCACTAGGCCAATAGGAAGGAGTACCTGTGGATATTGTAACAAAGTTGTTATGTTGAGTTACAAAATTAAGTTCTTTTCCTTTTGGGTTAGAAATACGAGATCCGCAATTTGGGTGTTCACTATTATAGTCGCCTCCTGCTAAAAATTTGGGCCCCAATGTGTTAAAGAATTCTTGAAACTGCTCCCTTTTGATATTATGTCTTGGAGGACAATATACAGCGGAGATAGTCAACTCATATGGTAATGCTTGAACTTTTACAGAAGTCGCTTGAATATAATCTCTGTTGAATTGGTCCATTTCATAATGCGGAATATTATTTTTAATAATAACGGCTGTACCACCCTGTGGCTTTCCGTTTGGGTGCGGAGTGTGGTATACGGTATAAAAAGGAATAGTGAAATGGGAATATTTAGTAAAGTGCGTTTCGGTAATTAATAAAATGTCTATTTTATTCATTGACAAAAATATAATTACATCATTTTTGTGTGCGAGAAGCCCATTGGCCTTCCATATTGCTATTCTAAGAAATTTAGTCATTTTTATTTGATTTTGTTATAAGTGTAGTTAACATGTTCATAATCATATTATTTTGTTGCATCATTTGTTGAAACATGGATTTGAATTCTGATAAGAACTGCGATAATAGCATATCTACCTGATTTGTGTTCGAAGCCTCTTGTTGTTTTAGTACCTATGAAAAATTTTTAAAAAAAATTCGCAGAATCCCACACTGCCACAATTAAAATTAGGTTCTTCTGCTGCTAAGCTTTTCACTGTGGAATATTTAATTAAACATCGGAAGACATTTATTAATTTTATTTAATTCATTATTTAGTTGCACTTAATACACAATTGATATTTTGAAATAAGAGTGATGTGAACTGTTTGGCAAGTAAGTGATGAATGAACACTTTTTGGTCGTCCTCCGGCTTTTTATAATCTCTGATGATGACGTAACCATCCTTCCAGAAAAATACGTTACAATGACTCACTCCTGTTTACTTTAGACGTAGTTTTGTGGTTTGTCATCGAAGAAAACCGTTACGGCTTGCATACAATGTTGCTTATCTCTAATACAATCTATGAGCTGTGAGTCAGCAACGTATGCGTCTTTCATATTGACTGTTATATCGAATTTATAATATTATTTATAACTATTGTAAAGGGTGAATACCACTACAATATATATATATATATATATATATATATATATATATATATATATATATATATATATAGATAGATAGATAGATATATATATATCTGCGTTCTGCGTTTTTATTCTGCGTATGTGTGGATAAAATTTATTTATTCATGTATTTTTTTTTCATTTGATAATAACATTATTTCTATAAAAACCCCAATAAGAATGTAATAAGAACTTTATTGGATTGTAATAAGATTTCCATAAGAATATTAAAAAAACATAATATAAAAAAGTTTATTTCAAACTTTTAAAAAAAAATAGTTTTTTAAAATGCTAAATTTATTAATACATAAAAATATATAATATTTTTATATTAATCACTGTTTTTTCTATAATTTTATAAGATTTCATTTGGTGGGATTTGCTCAATTTGTCGATTATTCATATCTTAATGAAAAAAATATATAAATAGTATGGCCATAAAGTTTATGCATAATATATTACTGATTTTTCTATTTACACTATTTTTAGATAGATACAAATTTTGGAGAATTAGTTCAAAATTTATGCAAAGGGAGTTGAATGGCTTAAATCTACTTTTGTAATACATACTTATTACAATATTATATAATAATAAACAAAAAATAAATAAGTTTTTAATTATTGTTTGAGTAGATTGGCTAAAACCTCTTGGTTTACCAAAGTTTCCACATCTTTGGCCCAGATAAGGTCTAGGTGATTAAAATTTGGTTCTGAGATATTATACATCACTGGATATTGTCCTAGATTTGATGCCAATTTTTCAATATCCTATAAATTTTAAAAAAACTCGATTAGCTTAAAATTAATAATAATAATATTTAATTAAAATATTGATAATAATCAACTTCTCGATTTACAAATTCACATTCTATTCAAAATTCAAAGAGTAACCATTTCTTATACAATTTTGTTTTAATAGTTTCAAATCTTCATATACGTAAGAATAGATAACTTCATTGAATTAGATTAGATTAGATTTTCTAATGATATATACTAATTTTAATATATTTAATTCAATTCTAACTAAATAAATGTAATTATAAACAAACACGTGGATGCTAAAACGATATGGGTGCCGCATGAAAAATTCGATATCAAAGTTTAACGAACTATTTTTATATAATTTTGTTCCAACAGATACAATTTGTTAAATTTGGATAGATAATTTTATATTCTTTTTAACGATATATCATATTACATAAGATGATAAATGGTGTTATCAAAATATTTCCAAATATAGAGAACTGCAACCAATATTGCCCACTAATGGATAACTTAATATCAAAATCACAATATTCTTTTTATTCAATTTTGTTTGAAAATATATTAAAGTTGTATACAGATTTGTAGACAATTCTTTTAAGTTTTTACTGTTTTTTTTAAAATACATTTGTATAAAGATGAATTTTATCAAAATAAAGCCAGATATAAAAAATGTAACCAATAAATTACACTAAGGGATGACTAAACTTCAAACTTAATTACAAGTTTATTAAGGTTTTAACTATATATAATACAATTGTTATAATTAAATTATTTATAATAAAATAACCGTGAATTTAGAAATCTGCAACCAATAGGATGTTATATAATTGTGAATCGTGCTGATTAGTTTTTGGTAAAGATAAGCCTGGCTGTTTTTTTTATTAATTAATGATTTCAATATACATGTTCTGTTTACCTCGTATCCAGTCATGAGATCATTTTCACCATAATATAAATAAACTTTGCATAAAACATTGCTCAATTTATAGCTCGGTGGCTTTTCCTGGCCATAGACCACTTTGTTCTTTTCCAAACCGTGGTCGAACATGTTGAACTTTCCTAGAAAGGTATAAATAGATTTATATAAAAAAATTAGTTATTTAAATTCATAAATAAAGGAAAAATGTATCAATGTAAAGCTACTATTTGTTGCTTTTTTATTTTATTTATTTAACATGGCTGTGGATCTTGCGATCATTACACGAGTTATAATTTTACATTTTTGTGCATTTATACATTAGTTTTATTATTACCTGTAAAACTATATAAAATTGTATATATATCCACATTATTACTAGATATTAAGATTTGTGTGTTTACTGGAAATATAATATTTTTTTTGCAATTTCTGATACATAATTCTTCTTGGATTCTCTTACATTCAGAATTCCCAGAATATATGATCTATTGTCTCCGGTTCGTCTCCAGACCTCCAGAGATAAAGTTGCACATTGTATGCCCCAGCCTTAATTTTGTAATTGTTGATACGAAATTCCTACTGCTTGTATCATTTTTGAACCAGGTTGTTTGAGATATCTTTTCTTTTGTCAGAGCATAAATTATACCCTTGCTCTTTGTTAACGTTGAGAAGTCTTTTTGCCACACATCTATGCTCCGCTCTTTGATTAAATTTTTCAGCTCCAAAGCAGGTATTTTTTCACATTCTACTCCAATTTGACCAGCTTCGTTTGCAATGATATCAGCAATCTCATTTCCTGTGATACCTGAATATCCCCTGATCCAAATCAATATTAAGGAATTTATGCCATTATTTATTGCATTCATTTTATTTTTGATTTCTATTATCATGTCATTTGATCTTCTATTTGGATTTGCTATCGCTGATAGACATGCTTTGCTGTCACTAAATATAATTGTTTTCGTAATGTTTTTCTCCCACGCATAATTTACACCACAGTATATAACCACCATTTCTGCTGTGAAATTAGACGCATAATTTGGTAGCTTAATTTTCTTGCTAAAATTGTGATATGGCACAAATATAGCGCAACCACAACTGTACGCTACTTTGGATCCGTCTGTGTAAATGTGTATATATCCTGGCCATCTTCTAGCCACATTATTTTGAAATTCTTTATTTTTTGCGGTATCATTCAGAAGTATCAAGCGAGTTAAATCCATATCCATTACTATACAATATTTTATTGATGTGTATTCATTAGCAAGATGATGAATTAGCATCTTTTTATTCATCATTACATACTCTTCGTATGGTTTCAGCTCATAAAAACTATTTATCAAAGGTCGGATTGGTCTATTTCTCCAATATGTATTGGTAAAATGTAGCCTCGCTAATACTTCTAATTGTTTGGGTGTATCATCACATGCTCCATTAAATTTTTTTTATTAAGAATCTATTTGATAGGATCTGCTTTCTAATGCTTAGTGGAGGTTCACCGGCTTCAGATATTAATGCATTCGTTGGAGTTGATCGAATGTTCTTATATCTCTCGTTGGAGCTTCTATATATATTGAGACAAGTTTCTGGGAGAGCCCCCCATTTAATGCTTGTTATTTTTCTAACAACATTTAATGCTGTTTCATATTTGCTTAATATATCATCTACATGCTTTTTAAAATTCATTTTCCCATCCAAATTGATGCCTAGAACTTTAATATTTTCTTTTATTTGTATCTCCTGACATCCTATCTTAGGTAAAGAAGGTAAAGATAGCTGCAGAAAACTTATCCTGTGATAAATTCAGGTTATTGTCCAATAACCATTTTCTGCTTTTCTCGGTGGCTTTGTTCATCGATGAAATACATATATCTATAGTTGGACAAGATACATACAGATAAATGTCATCTGCATATTGCAATTTTTTTACATTCAGTTCTGTTACTACTTTAAAGTTTGCCATGTATATATTGAACAAGATGGGGCTCAATATTGAACCCTGAGTGAGACCTTTGTTCATAACTCTAGGGCCAAGCCGGAGTCGTTTCGAATGTATAATTGTCTAGAAGATAGTAAATTAATTATCACATTAATTAATTTTTATGGTAAATTCAAATGTTTTAATTTTTTCTCCAGTATATTGTGATCTACATTATCATACGCCTTTTCTATGTCCATCGAGACTACCAACATATAATGATTATACGAGTTGGATATATGTATATCATTTGTTAATTTGCTCAGTAGGTCCAACGTACTTTTCCCTCTCCGGAAACCAAACATGGAATTATTTAGGACTTCTTTATTTTCAATATATTTATCTATTCTCTCTTTTATAATTCTTTCAAAAGTTTTTGCGATGCATGATATCAAGGAAATGGGTCGATATGAGTCTATTTCCATTGGTATTCTGTGTGGCTTGATACATGAAACTATTATAATTTTCCTCATCTTTTCAAGAATTGAAAATTTGGTTGAATACAGATAGTAATTCAATTTTCATTTCCGCAGGCCAATTTTTTATCATCGTATACGGTATATTATCATATGCAGGAGCCGTATTTTTCCTCTTTTTTAATGCCTTCTCTAATTCTTCTAATTTGAAATTTCTTTGTAAGTGCGCTTTGTTCACAATATACTCCTATATTTTTTTTACGATTGTCCGAAACAAAGTCTGGCGCATAATTTTATAATAGTAATTGCCGAAATTCTTTTTTAATTTTTTGTGTTGTGTTTATAATGTTATTTTTTATTTTAAAGAGTTAAATTTTGTTCCAAATTACTGCGGTACTCATGTTCTGATTGATGGAATTAATAAAGTTCAGCGAACTTTCTTTTTTCGTGTTTTTCAAAAACTTTTTAGTGCGTGGATTGATTTTTTGGTATTGTATGAAGTTTTCGTAATTACAGTGCTGACGCATCTTTTTATATGATGTTCTTGTATCTGAAATGGCTTTTTCGCACTCTTGATCCCACCATATCGCAGGCTTAAAAATCGTTCTCTTTATTTCTTTATATTGTTTTATATTTTTTTCTGCAGATTTTTCGGTAATCTGTATGATACGTTTATATCTTGCTGTTATATCTTCTGAGATTTGCCTTGTTTGGATGTACTTCATAATATCTCGGGAGTATCCCTGCCAGTTAGCAATTTTAAATTCCACTTTTTTATAGGGCGCGTTCTTATGACCGAAGGCACTTTCATCTCCAAAGTTATTATTATAGGCAAATGATCCGATCCCAAAACTTCTTGGCATACATCCCATTTAGTTGCATCTATAAAATTTCCTGAGCACAGTGTTAGATCTATGTTCGTAGCACTCCTGTATTTATTAACTTCCCCTAGGGTAAGTTATAGTAATCGTCCAAAAATCGAAATCAAAAATTTTTACATTTCTCGACGTTTTGAAGGTTTCTGAACATTTTGGCATACTTCAGAAAAAATGGATGTGTGTGTGTGTGTGTGTGTGTGTGTTTTGTATGTCCGCGTTTTTTCGTCCACGTTTTCGGGCGCACGGATCAACCGATTTGAATGGTTTAAAAAACATTCGATTCGTATTGATAAGGAGACGTGCTGATTAGTTTTTCGAGAAGGCAGGTCCAGCCGTTACGGAAATATGGAGCAAAGAGTGCAAAAAATAGAAAGCGAGTTTTTGAGAGAACGGATCAACCGATTTGAATGGTTTAAAAAACATTCGATTCCCATTGATAGGGAGATGTGCTGATTAGTTTCTGGCAAAGGTAGGTCCCAGAGGTTTCGGAGATACAGAGCTAAATGTTAAAAAAATGGCTGTTTTTGAGAGAACTAAGCGTCCGATTTAAATGATTCAAAGAACTTTCTGCTTCTTTCAACAAAATAATTGATTTTGGTAAAAAAAATTTTTTGTTTCTAATTTTTTTTTCAAAAAATTTTTTTTGTAATTTTGGATTAAAAATTCAAAAAATCACCCAGGCTAAGCACAGTCTAAGCGCCACTCTGGTAGAAATGTTTACGCAAGTGCGTTTAGACTGTTTATGTACTGGAGCACTTTTCCAATTTTGCGAAAATTATTGAAAAATGTGAAAATGCCGCCGAGCTAAGCACAGTATAAGTGAAAATGTCGCACAGAATTATTTGCAAATGCGTTTAGACTGTTACTATGCGGGAGCACTTTTTCAATTTTGTGTAATTTGGCAACTATTTTTTTTGAAATTTAATTCCAAATGAAATGACAATTGTTAATGTTCTGGAGATGATAAATTGATTTATTTATAATTAACTTTGCGTAGGGTAAGTTATAGTAATCGCACAAAAATCGAAAATGAAAATTTTTATATATCTTTACGTTTCAAAGGTTTGTGAATATATTGGCATACCTTAGAGAAAATTGATGTATGTGTGTGTATGTGTGTGTGTGTGTGTGTGTGTGTGTGCGTGTGTGTTCAGATACAAATTTTCGTCGACGATTTCGGGAACCGGGATGAAGCAATTTGAATAATTCAAAAAACATTCGATTCGTATTGATAAGGAGACGTGCTGATTAGTTTTTGTCAAAGGCAGGTCCGTTCCGAAGATATGGGGCAAAAAGGGCCAAAAACGGTCACTCAGTTTTTAAGAGAACGGAGCGTCCGATTTGTATAATTCAAAAACATTTTACTTGCATTATCAAGATGAAGATTTGATCAAATTTTCATGAAATAGGTCTAGCGGTTTCGGAGATCTAGTAAAAAAAGGAAAAAAAAAATAACATTTGGCGGTCAACAATAATCATTAGACATTAGACATATGCACATCAAATTATCAGATATTTTATAGAGATTTTAACAATAAGTATACATTTTGTTTGCATTCTTGTGGGTTCCGTACCAATGTTTATTCGTTTGACGGCGACGCGGCGCTTACGCGCTTTGACATTTTGTCTCTATGCATTAAAGCAGTACTATTGCTTTGAAAAAAAGTTCAGAATTTCCAAAATATTACAAAATAAATTTTTCAACAAAAAGTAAGTTTTTGTCAAAAATTTATATAGTCCCTCAAAAATCTATTTTTTTTCAGGGTAAATTTTTTTCAAAAATGTTAATCTTTTCAAAAAAAAATAATTTTTGGTACGGGAAGTTTCAGCAATTTGCCTTAAGGCACGATGCCATGCGTCCCACTAGTTTGCTACTGTAGTTGGACGTCCATCATTAAGAAGTAGTATTGCGTTGTCCTCTATGGTTTCATATAACATATTACCTTCTCTGCTATTGTATTTGCTACCCCATGCCATATGATGGCAATTAAAATCGCCGGTAATTAAAAAACTCGTGTTTATTGTTGAGATTGTGTCCTTGATATCTTAAAAATCTATATCTGTTCTAGTAGAGCAGTATACTGAAAGAATGCAAAATGGAAATTTGTTTTAATAATGGCAGCGCATATTTGTATATTCTTATTATTGTTGACTGAAGGAAATTCCTCACAATTTATGTCATTTCTAACAATGATTGCTGCTCCTCCATATCCATATTCCCTGTCTTTGCGAAACATTCGATATTCTCTGAAAGAGTATTGATATTCAGGTTTAAACCATGTTTCCGTGAAAGCCGCGATTGAAATTTCATTCTCATAAAGGAAATGTTCAATACTGGCCTTATTAGCTGTAACAGATCTGCAATTAATTAGTAGTATTTTTATTTTTTCGGTCTTTTATTTCTCATATATTATTTTTGTCATCTATCCATATCTTTTTAACTCTTTCAGAATTCTTAATGTATGATCTTTTTTCTTTTTAATGTTCTGAATTATTTCTTCAATTAACTTATCATATGGTATTTCAACTCTCTCACTATTGTCCTGTGAGGAAGATTTTTGTTTTGTATTAATATTGTACTTAAATTTATACCTGCTTCGCTCCTGTGTATTGGGCATATTTTCAATTGGTTTGTTGTTATCACTATCATTTGTTGCGTTTATGGAATTGTTATTTCTATATGTCTGTTTAGATATTGCTACTGAAGGCTTCGTGGTTACTGGCTGTTGATTTATTACTACATGTTTTCCAGCTGCGTATTGGGCAATTCAGGAAATTTCATTTTGTTTCTAATTTCTATGTCCGGACTTATGACGTTGGCATATGTTCTGTGTTCATGAATGCCCTGGCTTCTCTGAAACTTATATTTCATCTTTCGTTCATTATATTTTTAATTTTAACATGATTGCATAACGTACAAACCGGATTCTTTTCTTTATTTACACAATCCTTGAAACTATGTTCTTTTGCACAATAGCTGCATCTTGCTTTACCTTTACATTGACTGGTCACGTGGCCCATTCCTTGGCATTTGAAACATTGTGTCACTTTGTTGTATGTTTCGACCCTGTATGTGACAGCGTATATCAAAACACGGTCAGGTAAACGTTGACCTCTGAACGTTATCACGCATACCCTTGTTGGTACTTAATGCATTGTCTTGTTTTTTTTTATTCTTTTAATATCTGTTTTTTTATTTTTTTTATTTTATTAATTATAACAATCAGAGTCAGAATGACTATGAGTTACAGAGCTGATATAATTAAAATAATATATAATAAATTCAAATAAAAAGAGAAAAAAAATAATAATAATAATTACAACTCATAACATAATTAAAACTAAAGGTAAAATTATAATATAAACTAATTAATTTATGAAACTGTTCCAATGAACAGCTCACTATGTTATGTCAAGTCCAAAGGAATTTTTTTTCTTCAACCTTCTAGTAGACGGAGTCATAAGTAGAGGTGCTATAAGATGATTTGGATGGTTTTCTAGCTTGGAATGATGGATTGAACTTCTGCTACTAATCACATCCTTAATAAAAGGAATATTGAGGTCGTCATGGATGATTTTATTACTTACATACCAAGGTACGTCGGTGATCTGCCTTAAGATTATGGATTGCATCCGTTGCATTAAAACAGTGTTGGACATGCTGGCGCAACCCCAAAGCTCTATACCGTAGGTCCAGATGGGCTTAATTACAGATTTATATATCAGTAGCTTGTTGTCTGTTCTGTTTGATTTGTTTTATTTTAGCCATAATGTGGGTTTTCCATGAAAGTTTTTGATCCAAATATATTCCCAGATATTTAACATTTTCAGCTGGTGGAATTTTCTGGTAATTGAAGTAAACTTCAGGACATCTTAGTTTGCTTAAAGAAAATGTAATATGGAAAGATTTGCTCTCGTTAATAACAATACACAATTTTTTCGTCCATCGCTCGACAGCATATAGATGTAACTGGAGCTTGATAGATGCAACGATAGCGTTGATATCAGAGGATTTTTTAATATCTAGAACATGAATTTCTGATTGTATATTTTCCATAATATCTGATTCAGTCATTTTGGTGCCGACGTCATATATAACACCCTTCCTAATCAACATAGAAATAGGTAAATATGCTTTTAATTTCTTTTCCATAAATAATTTCTCATTAATTATTTTATTGGCTGCGTCATATGTATTAAACGTAATTTTAATTCTGTTAATGCCTATGGATTTTATTTCTGTAATATTGTTTTTATATTGAGGTAAACTGCTAAATAATATTCTGCCTAATGTCATTTTATGTACTGTATTTTTATCTTTGTCTACTGATTCAACATATATGGTAAATGGACCCATATTATTCTCGGAGTACTTCATTGTTTTGTAATTATCGCCTCTTATATTTGAGTTCATATCATTATTTTTATCATTATTTTCATTTTTACTTACATTTTGATCATTATTATTTTCGCATTCTTCCATTTCTTCTGCCCAATTTTGTGTATTATTATTTTTATTAGCTAACACTATCATTAACTGTTTTATTGTTTTACTATTTATTTCTTTTTTATTCACTTTAGTTAAATCACTTTCCATATTATTAATTTTGCTAATAGCATTTTTTATCGTTTCCGATGTTAATAATTTACTAGTATCGCCTGCTACACTTAAACCGATTTTATACACACTGTCTATGTCGTCCGACTGGCCATCGGCTTTGCCATTATGTAATTTTAAAAGTTTTTTTTTTAATTTTATTTGAACAGCGATCAGAACTTATGGGTTCTATGAGCTGTTGTGATTAATATCTTACAAACTACGTTTGTTTTATTACAGATGACAGCCCAAACAGTTGTCACATCTCTGTATGATAATTTTTTTATTACAATCTCTGTAATAGGGCAAGTATGGTGCAACAATGCCAGGTGAGAGCTATTTTCACTTGGAAACATATTGCTATTTCTTTTTCCAAGTGAAAATCGTTGTCACTGTTGCCTGACAACAGGCTGCTCGAAGTGGGTATCGAACCCGGGACCTCTGAAACAAGTCCCGTCGCTCTTAACCGCTTACCTATGAGCGAGCCCATTTTGAAAGAATTAAATTTGTTTCGATTATTCCACGATCTGTTCACTTGGAGAACTCAATACCGAATGAGCTTTGTTGCTTGAAATATGCTTTAAATTTGACTCAATATTTGGAAAGACAACAATTTATGCTTTGTTTTTTTTTTCTTGTGGAATATATTTTAAACTGTTGGTTTTAATTAAATGTAGTCCTTGAGAGGCTACATTCACATTAAATTGTAACTGGAAATCTGGAAAACCAAGTATACTTATTACTTATGGGTTCAAATAACTAACTGTTTATTTTTCCTAAAGATTCAAACAGTAGTTTCTGACTAAAAATCGATTTACCTACCTGTATTATAATTTTGCCAAAAGTGTAATATCTGATTTGTAGAAGATCCTGCAGGCGAATTGTGATAAATTAATGGAATAATGCCCTAGAAGTACCAACAAAGATTAGTCACGGAATTATTTATAGAATATATTTATATTTTACTCACAATGAGATCCAGTTGTTCCTCATCGCGTCCGATCATGTCTGATATAATCTCATAACACATTCTCGTAGAAAACTTACTCATTATGCAAAATTTTCGAAGACTTACACTGATGCGTCCATCATAACGCAACATCTCTCTTGAATTATTTTCGGTAGCCTGAAAGTACGATGATAAGTATTAAATATAACATTTGTAGGTGTCGTAGATAAATTATCAGCAACCATAAATATTTTCTCACATGTACTGTGTCCATTAAAACGTTCGCCCAGTTCAGCGCGTTGCTTTTCATGTGCGACATGAAGATGGACGGAGCCAGGGCATGCATTGATCTGATTTTTTTATTGTATTCAGGTTTTGTCGATGTCATCACGATAAATACACATGTACCCTAAAAAATAATGAATTAGTTGAGTATTTGTCTTGTAAAACATTGCTTGATACGTTTGAAAGTAGGAACAACAATGAACGTTAGTGGATTGTACATTATCGGCTGAAGAAAAGTACATGAGGACGCACAAAGTAGTTTTATCTGCCAGCAGCCCATGTTTTGTTTCCCTGTTGAAGCTTCAATATGGCAAAAATCCTATATTTATATGGAAGAATGTTGAGTACCAGAAACTTAGCAATGATAGATTATATGTATCGGGGCCAAGTAAACATTACTCTAGATCAATTAGGAGCACTTTTAAAAGCCGCGGACACGCTGCATATTACTCTTAGGTAGTTTGACAAATGTAAAGAAACAGCGTACAAATTTTTTTGGACCTACTATTAGTAAACTAATACTCACACCTTCGGCGCCTGATGACGACATTGCGGATCAAAATTTACCTGCCGATAGGAAAACCTTCTCTAGCCCAACCTTTAGGAAACATAAGCAGAAGGCATAGTAATGATGGTTCTGCTGTTTTACCTATTAATCAAGAACTTATTACATCCAAACCTCGCTTTGCGGCCTAGATACGTTCCGCGAGACTTGGCCGTAAAGCGAAAAGCCGTATAACAAATCAACTATTCTAATACGTGTTCATACAAATTCAATGGGATCGGTTCCAAATTTAATAAATATATAATATGGCTTATCATTCAAAATGCATTTTATTTTTTTATTTTGTTTAAATTATAAACATATTTAATAAGAACATAAATTTTAAATTTACATAATTTTTAAATAAAAATGAAACAACTAAAACCTCCAGATCACTGTCACCATCATTTTGTGCTGGTGGTTTGAAAAATTTGTCTAAAGTTGTTTGTCTTGCCTTCTTGTCTATTTCTTCCTTTAGTGATTTATAACAGCTAATGACCGAGTTAATTCCTCGAGACACATTAGCGCTACGTTCGACGTCAGGATCGTTTTCAAGGAGGATGTTTATTCCTTGTTCAAAATATGAAAAAGCGCTCAACATGATTTTTGATGTTAGCAGTTTGAATACAACAGGTTCTGTATCTTCATCAATTGCCGGCTCTGCTTGCAACTGAATGAGTTCCACATTAGAAAGGGGTTCCCTATCAGCTGCAAGTAGATCCAGCACATCAGATTCGTTTAAATCTTCAAAATCGAGATTGCGCAATATATCGACATAGAGAAAAAAAGTCGTTATAGCAAAACATTTTAGGCTGTATATCGAAAACGTACCTTAATTAAAGAGGGCCGTTATAGCGAAAGGCCGTATAAAGAGCGGCCGTATAGCGAGGCTTGGGTGTATAATTCAAATACCCATTAAGAATTTGTCCAATTTTGCCCAAGCTTCAATTTAAAGGATCCAATTTAACGGATAGGACTGAAAACTCTTCAGACACATTCTAGTCACCCGCTATTGCCAAAACCGCAGGAAAAATAATTATTTCTAAAAACAACGAAATTCGAAAATCAGAACAACATAGTAAATTAATACTTGAACCTTGAAGAAGTCAATGATTCTTTTGAAGACCTATCCTTTGAAGATGATGAAATAAATGATATGGACCAATCACAAGCCGAATCTAGTCTTTGTGGCGAAGGATCAAGCGAAGGTTTTGCTGGATGGCATAACATGGGCACAAGACGAAGGACTGGCAGCGCATAATACAGCGGCAGGACATCGTGAATCACTCTGACCAAGATTTACTTTACGACAATGAAATTCAATTGGTGAGAGGAAAATAACAAAAAAGGAGAACAATCAACGTTATACCGCATCTACTCAAAAAAAAAGCGTCCGAAGGCAATTTGACAAAAAATTTTAACATATTGGAAAGTAAACTTGTTTTTAACCATTTTCTTTGCGATGATACTACTATTAGATTAATAGTAATATTCACTTGAAAGCATATTTAGTTCTATAATTTTGAGTGAAATAGCTTTAATTACTGCTTGAGATCGAGCTGCCTGAGACGGAAATAGTAATTGGCACGTTATGATTGCAGGATCAAAGCTCTTAACACATAGCTATGGATAAACTTGTGGCAAAATATTCTATTTTACTTATTACCTGTGAGTGCCCAATATAATCCAACTTGGACTGCCCAGTAACATTCAAAACAAAATCGATAATTGTCGGCAGATCTTCTGTTCCCATTTCATGCCAACTAATTTACAATTAATATCATTTATTAATTTATTTATATATTCAATTGTAGTTTCTATATTAACTAATTTATACCTGAAGTCCCAATATTCAAGATTACTATCAGGATCCAAAGTTTGGTGCATCCGCGAATATTTATTACCTCTATTATTGCCTAACCAGACATCATAGCCATGGTCTGATAAAAACAAAGCTAAAACATAAAAAATCTGTTTAAATACTTTTCAAAGTAAATTGCATTTCTCATTTTACCTAATGATTTGTTAGGTCCCATCAGGACAAAATCAGCAGAACTTGAAAACAATCCTGGTATCAACAGCACCACTTTATTGTCAGAATTTTGAAAAGTTTTTAAAAGTGGACCATTTTTTGGTGAACGCGGTATTCTGTGCAGAGATAAAATATAACCATCTTTTGTTGTCACGTTGTACTGTTCTACAGGGTAACCGAATTCTTGTATAAAGTCAGCCTGAAAATAAAAAATGAATAAGATTTTGTGAGCTGGCCCGGTAATCGTTGTTTTGCCATAAAACATATTGCTAGTGTTAAATATTTAGTACGAAAATAAATAACTGATTGCAAATGTGGTGTATAAGTGAAAAGAGCAGCTATCAAAAAATATATGAATAGTTTACCCACTGCAAAGCACGTCACATATAAATGTTCTTTATTAGTCTTTGCTAGAGCCAACCCAATCTCAAAACTGATTCTATTTTAAATTGAATTGGCACATTTATGGCGAAATTCTGCCGTGACAGAGCTCATAAAATAGCGTTGTCATGGCAGCGCTCTTTTATGCTTGTTCTTGGTATCGGAAATTTTGAAAATATTTTCATATTTGCCGGGCGATCAGGCGCATTTTTATGCAATGCCGTGTTTTTTATTATATCAGATATTTTTGAATTACAAATCAAAATCCGATAATTCATTTTTAAATTATATTCTTATGTAGCATTCCCAGCGAATTGACTGACATTGAAAAAAAACTAGCTGTAAGTGGAATTCTGTCTTAAGGCAATTAAGGCATCGTGCCTTAAGGCAAATTGCTGGAACTTCCCGTACCAAAAATTATTATTTTTTTAAAAACAATTAACATTTTTGAAAAAAAAAATTACTTTGAAAAAATAAGATTTTTGAGAAACTATAAATTGGACAAAAAATTACTTTTTTTTGAAAAAAAAAATTTTTTTAAAAAATTTTTTTTTTAATTTTTTTAAATTTTTTTTTTGTTTTTTTTTTTTGAAAAAAAATTTTTTTTTTATTTTGACATATTGTGGAAGATCTGAACTTTTTTTCAAAGCAATCGTACTGCTTTAACTGCATAGGGACAAAATATAAAGCGCGTAAGCGCCGCATCGCTGTCTAACGCATAAGCATTGGTACGGAACCCATAGCAATGTTAACAAAATTTAAACTTATTGTTAAAATCTCTATAAAATATCTGATAATTTGATGTGCATATGTCTAATGACCATTTTTGACCGCCAAATGGCTCATTTTTTTACTTTTTCCTCCATATCTCCGAAACCGCTAGACCTACCTTCATGAAAATTTTATCGATTCTTTATCTTGTCAATACAAGTAAAATGTTTTTTGAATTATTCAAATCGGACGCTGCGTTCTCTTAAAAACTGAGTTACCGTTTTCGGCACTTTTTGCCCCGTATCTTTGGAACGGCTAGACCTGCCTTCGCCAAAAACTAATCAGCACGTCTCCTTATCAATACGAATCGAATGTTTTTTGAATTATTCAAATCGGTTGATCCGTGTTCCCGAAATCGTCGACGAAAATTTGTATCCGCACATACATACACACACATACATACATACACACACACATACACACACACACACACACACACACATACATCCATTTTTTCTAAGGTATGCCAAAATGTTCAGAAACCTCTGAAACGTAAAGATATATAAAAATTTTCATTTTTGATTTTTTTGCGATTACTATAACTTGCCCTACGGGAAGTTAAAAATTAGATTGTGGGAAAATTTACAGCTTTGCCATAGATTTATATGGTACCTATAGTTTACTATCAAAAACTGTTGTATCTTCAGATTTTAATATTCAACATTTAATTCTTTGCAAAAATTGCTCACTTTGCAAAACCATTTATCAACTTTGTGTCTGTTTGTTCACATCGGAAAATATTTGTACAACGAGAAAGTAGAAGGGGTGAACAACTTTTGATAAAAATAAATTGTTTTTTTTTTTAAGTAAAATTAATGCTTTGTCACAAGGTTAAAATAATATAAATAAAATATTCAGTAAACGAAACGCCCACTGATTGGAAGCGTGGTGAAAAATTATTCGATTACTAAAATGGCTTTTATGAAATAGAGATTTGCGGAAGCAGGGTGAAAATCTAATGTTGTGTACATTTTCTAATTCCGAATTATGAACATTAAAATTAAATAAAAATTGATTCTAAAATTTAACTAGTTGGTATTTCGCCTTGAGGCAAGGTACATGAACTTTCCGACATGTGTAAATAATCGAATTAATCAATAAAAATTAAATTAATTTATGAGTGATTAAAAGTATTCCGAGTGGATTTATTACACATAATTCCAAACGAACGAACACGTTAACTCGGAGTATTTTCTAAAAGCAAAATATTAAAAATCAACCATTTTTATAATTGAAACAGTTTTCGTAGGACTCCAATGGTTTAGTACAGTGTTTCCCAACGTGGGGCGCACGCCCCACCGGGGGGCAATTTGTAATTTCAGGGGGGCAATTTGAAAATTTTGGTGATTTTAATGTAATGTAGTATAGTATCGGTAAAACATTTAACAAAAAAAATGCTTCTTAGATTTGGAATAATAAGGTGTCGCGACACTGTCAGTGTGGCCGCGACAGTTTTAGTTTTCAACCTTGCTTTCCTAGTGTCGGAGTTATGTTTTTTCTGCCGGGTTGACTTAACTTTTTCTCATTATAATGTATAACATATGAAGTATACTTTATAATAAAATTACAACTACCCATTATAATCTAAAAATGATACATGCAATAAACTTTATATAAATCCAACAACAACATTATGAAAGAGAATATTGCGGGATGCAACAATTCTTTGGGTTCCACTAGCCCTTCACTAATTATTTTAAACTTCTATATTCCAATTTACGAAAATTACCAAAAAAATAGGTAAATCAAGTTTCTGACTGCTTGGCATAAATGCTTTAAGGTCAGTGACAAGACTCGACTTGAAATATGCACAAGAAAAGTGATATTTAATACTAAAGTTAATTGCGAAGCTTTATGAGAACAGAGTTTTATACAAGGCTTTAAAAGCAGAAAAATTGTAAATATGATGTGAGTTTTTTACTCACTGTCAGTAACTATGGCTAAAGATGGAATTAATTTAAAATAAACGAATTTTTATTGTATCCTTAAATAGTACAAGGTTGACACTAAGCGCGGCTTTTATTGTTAGATTGCTTCAAATAATTCTTTAGGTTTGTTGAGGTTGAGGTAGTAATGTATAGTGAGAAATTTAGCTTTAACTTTTTGATCGGTTATGTAGAGTATTTGTTGAAAGATGGAATATTAAAACAAACATTTTAGTCAAATTTTGAATTTTTATTTCTGCAAATGGTAAAACGATCATCCCAAAGAATAGGTGCTGTTTATGGTGTCGAAGTCTTAAAAAGCAGCTATGTTAAAATTGGTTTTGAAAATGTCATTTTGGTAATTTTCCACTCAATGCTGCTCTGATTGTCCAGTTAAAGTTTTGGACAAACTAATTAAAGCAATAATCGATTGGGCTAATAGAAACAATTTGGCTATGTTTAAAAATTATTGTGGGTTGGTGAAAAATTTTCTCCACATCCATCAAATGTTCCTGACTACAAACCATCTGATTTAAAACCCTTGAATATAAAAAAAAATCATGATGGTGTCAAATTGTGTCTAATTTAGTTTTTGCTAATAAAAACTAGAAGTTTTATAAACTTAGGTTAATTATCCTTCTTGTAAAATAACAAAAGGCCATCGATCAAAATGGTATACATAACAAAATTATTTAATTCCACGCAAAAATTGTCTTAGATTTTCTAACTAAAATGCGCACTTACTTAGTTGCCAACGATAACTATCAATTTCTAGAAAAATATGCGCACTTACTTAGTTTCCAATCTGATAACTGAAAAAGATTTAACAAAAAATATATAAAATTAAGATATAATTCCGTTCTGAGTTAAGAAAATGTCAAGTAGATTCGTTAAGAAATGACTTTATGAAGAAAGTGAAACCAAATGCCTAAATGTAATCATATGTACAAAAATTTGCTATAATTTATTGAAAAAAAGAAAAAGCTTAGATTAGAACCTAATATGAAATCTTTGTTTCAGCTTAAGTATTGCATTAAATAAATTTCGAAAAAAACAGTAATAAAATTAGTTTGAAATTTCCGTATGTTGGCTTATTCCGAAAATTTACTTATGATGTTTAATAACAATTTAATAGCGATTTCATCTTAAAAGTTACATCCACATTTTTTCTGGGAGAAAAAAAATCGTATGGGGGAGCATAACGTTTTTATAAACCTCAAGGTGGGGCGGGGCCCAAAAAATGTTGGGAATCACTGGTTTAGTATGTTTATTAAGGTCATGTGCTCTATTGTTATACCAAGTAAATCGACTAATTTTAAATTTAAAACAAACGTCAAAAAACTACTCATTTTCTAAAACTTTGATGAATTTTTAAAATTAAACTACTTGTCGTAAGGCCATTATATTTCAGTAAGTTCAGTAAAAAAGTTCCATAAAAATCGGCTTAAATTTTTTTTTAACAAGAAAACGGCTCGGTAGATTTTCACCTAAAACTAATCAGTATCATTCCCAACTAATATCTTTCGAACAGTTTTTCATTTTTTAAAATTGATTCGGTAGTATGAGAATAAAAGTGGGCGAAAAGTTTAACACTTTTTTCCAAATCACAAAGAAACGCCTGGCCGATCGTCGCACAAAACTAAGAAACGTTGATGAAAGGTCTAATTTTCACAAATGCCAAAAAAAACGATACTAATTTTTGCAAACTTTGACGGACTTTTAAAGTTAAACGAGTTGCCGTGGGACCGTAATATTTTAGTAGGATCTATAAGATATTTTTTTCACTTTTCTGCTATTTATAAAGAAACGCCTTGGCCTATCGTTCACAAAACTGCTAGTCCTCGTCGAAATACATCGATTGGCTTTTAAATGTTTGAAATCGGTCTAGCCGTTTTTGAGAAAACGTCGATTTACGACAAAAAATCTGTTCACATACACGCACACACACACATACTTTTTACAAATTTGGTCTCATTCGATTCAGATTGGCTTGAAACGTCGAGAAAACATAAAATTAGCGATTCGGATTTTTTATGCAAAACATAAACTTCTCTCCTTCAACCCTTGAAAAAAAAATAAATAGTTTATTGAAGTAAAAAGAGTTTCATGTATTTTTCAATTT